CCTTTTAAGACCATTGTTGACTATCTGTATGTTACATATTTGTACCGACACCGTAAAATGTATCTCTTAACACTGGCCTATTTATATTTTTCTTCTATCTTATACAAATAAAACGACAATGTCTGCGTGTGCTTTAAGAAGGATCTCAGTAACTGATTGACCTAGAGACATGATTTATCCTCATCGGAAAGTGGGAGTGACATGGGCATATTTGTTTTTGGGTATCTCCTATTGCTCATGAGTTATTTTCAGTTTTGCATTTTTCGCTGCAGATACACCCGGTGGCTGCTGAGTCAAACTGGCGCTGTGGCATCATGCGTCACAGAGCACACACGTAGCCAAACGGTGCGAACAAAACAAAATAAAGAACAAAGCTAAATTGCAGCAAAAACAACCAAATTACATTTTTAAAGTGCCGAGTCCTCCTACTGAGTCCTCCCAAAAGGAATCCTTCCACAGGAGTCTTCCCAGATGAGTATTGATAAAAATGAAATGTCTGTCTGTCTGGGTGCTAATCTACATTCCATTTTGGATCTTTTGGTTGCAAGTATAGCTGCAACGGATACAGCTAGTTTACTATAAAATGTTGATTTGTTGTTGCACATATTTTATTTAAATTTACCTTATACATTTCAATCCTGTTTATCTGATTTTTTTTTACACATATGTATAATGAAATACTTGTTGGGAGTGTATTGTTATGAACTATATTAGTGAGGTGATTTAACTCATTTTTGGAAGGAATTGTATTCTACTTAATTTTGTCACCTAACACTTTATAATCCTTGGATTTATGAAGCACCTTTATCAAAATATTTCAAATTGCTTCACAGGATTTACTGTAAAGCTTAGTTACTGTGTATTTAGGTGAACATTATAAGACAAAAGGAAACAAATATAGTGTGAATAGGATTCGGGACTCTGAATAAAAAGAATGATCCCAATTTAGGGCATTTATCAGACTAACTGCTATCATCTTGAAATCTAAACAATTCAATTTCAAATTTAACATAACATAACATGTAGGAGCAGGAGTAGGCCATTCGGCCGTTCGAGCCTGCCCCACCATTCAATCATGGCTGATCTTCTAATCTAACTCCATCTAATAACCTGACCCTGCCTTATCCCCATATCCCTTAATCCCTTTTGCAATAAGAAATCTATCTATCTCGGTCTTGAATATGTTCAAGGACTGAGCGTCAACAGCCCTTTGGTGTAGTGAGTTCCATACGTTCACCACCCTTTGAGTGAAGAAGTTCTTCCTCAACTCAGTGCGAACGGCCTCGTAACTCAACCCCTTCATCCCTGGTAATAACCTCGTAACTCTACGCTGCACCCCCTCCAAGGCAAGTACATCCTTCCTTAAATGAGGAGACCCAAACTGCACGCAGTATTCCAGGTGTGGTCTCACCAGGGCCTTATACAGTTGCAGCAAGACTTCCCTACTCTTATACTCTAATCCTTTCATAATGAATGTTAACATATCGTTCGCCTTCCTAATTGCTGCTGCACCTGCAGACTAACGTTCTGTGATTGGTGTACAAGGACACCCAAGTCCCTCTGGACGCTAACACATTCCAATCTCTCCCCTTCTAAAAAATAACCCGCTCTACTGTTTTTGCTACCTAGGTGGATGACTTTGCACTTCCCTACATTATACTTCATCTGCCACCTACCTGCCCAATCACCTAACCTATCTATGTCTCGCTGCATTTTTTTAATGTGGTCCTCTGTGTTGACACTTCCTCCTAGTTTTGTGTCATCCGCGAATTTAGATATATTAACTTCGATGTCCTCATCTAGATCGTTGATGTAGATGGTAAATAGCTGAGGCCCAAGGACTGATCCTTGTGGCACTCCACTAGTCAAATCCTGCCAATCTGAAAAGGACCCGTTTATTCCTACTCTTTGTTTCCTACCCGTTAACCATTCCCCAATCCATGTTAATATGCTCCCCCCAATTCCATGAGTCCTTAACTTTTGGACTAACCTTTTACGCGGCACCTTATCGAATGCCTTCTGGAAGTCCAAATAGATCACATCCACTGATTCACCCTTGTCTGGTTTACTGGAAATATCCTCAAAAAACTCTTATGGGATTTGTCAAACATGACTTCCCTTTTGTAAAGCCATGTTGACTTGGCCTAATTATATTGTGCTCCTCTAAATACCGCACTACCACATCCTTAATCAACGATTCCAAAATTTTTCCTATCACTGATGTGAGACTAACTGGCCTATAGTTCCCCATCTTTTCCTTTCCACCTTTTTTAAATAATGGTGTGACATTTGCGATTTTCCAATCCATGGGGACTGTTCCAGAATCCAAGGAATTTTGGAAGATCCTTTCCATTAAATTCCAGGAATTTCCTGAATCTGAAGCAACAACAATCAGTTCTGCAAGAAATTAGCTCAGGTCAGAATGATGAGCAAACATTCTTTCTTGGGTTAAAGACTCCAGTCTGATACTTGTTACCACAAACTTGTCCTTTGGGGAAATCAGTTCTGGATGAATGAATACTGTCATGTTAATATCCTTATCAACTGAGTGCTACCAATTAAATTATTAGTTATATTTCTCTTTTTCTTAATTATTTGGTTTGTAAAATATAGTGCATTTTATTTTGTATTTCAATGGTTTTAGTAATATTCAAAACTTTATAGATTTGGGACTATATAAATAGTGCTGAATGTGGCACTGTTATTTGCTTGAAATCTGCTAGATTTAGAACACAAGTCATCTCTGGGAGAGGTGATGATTATACCCATAATTTTAACTGTTTTGCATCCCAATCATACAGCCATTTCAAACGTGAATTATGTAAAACGGAATAAATGTTTTGCTTTTTATAATTTTGGACATCCCTGCTTCTCCCTGTAGGTTAGTTTGGCTTGCCTTGGAACAGGGAAAAGTTGGGATCCCACGAGGTCTGCAGTGGTAGCCACTCAATACAGGATATTAACAGGGCCTACAAAATTCTATGCAACTCATCCACTCCTCCCAACTTTACTCAACTTTATTTTATCATACTATTGCCATTGCTCCTCTGAGGTTTCCTCTCTTGTTGCTCTAAGTGCTCTGGGATGCTAGCTTGTGTGAGGGGAGCTATATATGCAAGTAGACAGATATATGAAAGGTAAAGACTTGAAGGGCTATGAAGATAGGGTGAGCAATGGGATTGAATGAATCGCTTGCTCTGAGAGCTGGTGCAGAGGCTCAATAGGGCTTCTGGGCTTCTAGAGGCTTCTGGGCTGTAAATTGCTATAATTGTAACCTTCGGCCTATATATGGTTTATTTCAGCTTTACAATAGTGGGTTTAGCCACAAGAACATTGGAGGAGCTTTTCCTAGAGGTTTAACAGGTACTTGTATCTTGATTGCCAGCACTGGTGTGTAATTAAAAATAAGTTCAATAAAAGTAGTAATATGAAAACAATGATAGGAATAATGAAAATACCTGAGCATGATTACAAGGCAACAATACACTCGAGGGTTTCCACTAACATCATGAGCAAATACCATATAATCAGCAACTTCGTCCCAAGGTTGGATTAAAAATTACTGTCTTTAAATCACCATTCGTTTATATAATATACAATGTTTGTTTTAATAAGATACAATTTTGATTTCAATGGAGAAGAACTTTAAAGTCTGTTACATTGGATTGTATTCACTTGTAGATTTTCCTCTTCAACCGTGCCTACGGCCAATCCCCCTTTCTCCCCGGCTCGGCATCAAACTATGCCATTGTTAAGTCCTCTGAGACAATACCCCACATGAAGGGCACTATACAAATGCAAGTTGTTGTCGTTGCATTGATACTTGTAATGTCGGATTCATGATTATATCATTACTTCAAAATTATACACAATACATATCTGTATTTGATATACTTGTGAATAAAACATGACAAGGTTCTTGTATGTATTTTTTATATTTTATATTATATTTTATATTTTGGTGAAGATTATTTTTGTGACATCTCCGTCATCACGCAATGATTCTTTATTTCTTCTTGGATGATTCTGAAGTTATATTGTACATGGTCTGGTTTCAGATATGTGGGCTTGTGTGTATCCCACAATGATACACCTTAAACAATAACCAAAAACAACTGCAAAAAGTGCGTTGAAGCCCACAAAACTGTTCATACTAACGGGACACATTAGCTTTTGCTGTAACTGAAGAAAAAACCGGATATTTTTGCTCCCTTTCAGTAGAATTACAATCTGCATCTGTACGAGCAAAATACTATTTTAAGAAAATAAATGGAAAATGCCATGGAAGTGGATTGCCACCTGCTGAATACCCAGTTACAATAACGCCTTTTTAAAAAAAAAAAATTGAAAACCAAGTATATTTAATTCTTCTTCTGACATCTTGCTCTGTTCGCCGCTTTCCAGGTCATTAACATGTCTTAACACCGCAGGAACCTCAGAAAGATTATTTTATTATGTGTGCGTGTGTGCATATATATATATATACACATAATCTATAATATACATTATTTTTTTCTCCATTCAAGACAAATTCCAGGCTGCTGCTTTGCCTGCAACATCTTACAAATTCCACCATTCCATTCCTGACTGCAAAACCCATTGCAAACGTTTGCACACAAACTCTGACCCTCTTGTGATCAATCATAATCTGGGTGGGGGGTGATGATGATGATGATGATGATGGTGGTGGTGTGTGTGGAATAGAGAGAGAGAGAGAGAGAGAGACCCCCCCCCTCAATCCTTCCCCTCAGCACTTTTTTTTCTGTGTGTGTGTGTGTGTGTGTGAAAAAGAAGTTGATTGTAACTTTTTTCCTGGTTTGGGATTGGTCTTTTTTTTTGTGTGTGTGTGTGACATATTAATAATTAATCACCTCCTCTCTCTCTCTCCCCTCCCTCCCTCTCTCCTTCCCTCCCTCCCTCCCTCCCCTCAAAAAAACACACACACACACACATACACACACACACTCCCCCCCCCCGCCCCCCCCCAAAAAAAAAAAAAATCTTTTATGCAAATAACCATTACCAATGAGGACTAAGCCATGATCCCGGCCCGACAGCGACCCAACATGGAGGAGCGGAGCTAGAGAGCCATGAGAGTGGTGTCGGCCGCTTTGGGAGCAGCAGTCGGAGCCCTTCTGTCCGGGGAATGTGTTAGTGCGGTTGTCCCGGGGAGCGATGCCCAGGAGGAGGTCGAGCGGGGAACTGCCTCTGCCCAACGGCTGGGAGGAGGCGCGGGACTACGACGGCAGAGTCTTCTACATCGACCACAACACCCGCCAGACGAGCTGGATCGACCCGCGGGACAGGTCAGGCAGAGCGGCGGAGCCCCGGAGCTCAGCCCACAGCTCAGCCCTGAGCTCAGCCCCAGAGCTCAGCCCCAGAGCCCCAGAGCTCAGCCCCAGAGCTCAGCCCCAAAGCCCCAGAGCTCAGCCCCAGAGCTCAGCCCTGAGCTCAGCCCTGAGCTCAGCCCCACAGCTCAGCCCCACAGCTCAGCCCCACAGCTCAGCCCCACAGCTCAGCCCCACAGCTCAGCCCCAAAGCCCCAGAGCCAGCCCAAGCCAGCCCAGAGCTCAGCCCCCCAGCTCAGCCAGAGCTCAGCCCCAAAGCCCCAGAGCCCAGCCCAGAGCTCAGCCCAGAGCCCAGCCCAGAGCTCAGCCCAGAGCCCCAGAGCCCAGCCCAGAGCTCAGCCCCAAAGCCCCAGAGCCCAGCCCAGAGCTCAGCCCAGAGCTCAGCCCCAGAGCTCAACCCCAGAGCCCCAGAGCCCCAGAGCTCAGCTGGCGGACACTTTCCTCTCCCCCCCCCTCTCTCTCTCTCTCCTTCTCTGTCCCCCTCTCTCCCTCTCTCTCTCTCCTTCTCTGTCCCCCCCTCTCTCTCTCTCCTTCTCCTGTCCCCCCTCTCTCCCTGCCCCCTCTCTCTCCCCTGTCCCCCCCCCCCCCTCTCTCCTTCCCTGACCCCCTCTCTCCTTCCCTCCTTCCCTCCCTCCTTCCCTGTCCCCCTCTCTTCTTCCCTCTTTCGCTGTCCCCCTCTCCTTCCTTCCCCCCTCCTTCCCTCCATCTCCTTCCCTCTCTCCTTCCCTCCCTCCCTTCCTTCCTTCCCTCCCTCCCTCCCTCTCCTTCCCTGTCCCCCTCTTCTTCCCTGACCCTCTCCCTCCCTCCTACCCTGTCGCCCTCTCTCCCTATCCCTCTTTGTCCCTCTCTTTCTTCCTGTCCCTCTCTCTCTCCTCCTGTCTTTCTCTCTCCTTGTCCCCCTCTCTCCCTCCTCTCCTCCTGTCTCTCTCTCTCTCTCTCTCCCTGTCCCTCTCTCCCCAACCCAGGACCTTCTCGCACTGTTACTTCGCAACCACCTGAGGCTCAGATGCCAGAGCAAGTCCCAGGGACTGTGTAGCTCTGGGGCCAGAGTCTGTCTCACTCACACAGTGAGGAAGGAAGGAGCGGTTGGACTTGGAGCTGACAGACACAGCCAACAACCCCCTCCTCTCCCAGCCTGGACTGGGCACCCAGCACAAGAAAGGCTGCCTGTCTGGGAAGAGAGGAGGGAGAGAAAGAAAGAAAGAGAGAGAGAGATAGAGAGAGAGATAGAGAGAGAAAGAAAAAGAGAGAACAAAAATGGGGATTTTTTTTTATTGATTGCTCCCCTCTCTCCCCCCATCTAAATCTTTCTTCCCACATTGTATTTTGTGGTAGCTGGAGGTTACAGGCACAGCCTGTGGCTGGGCTGGGGCTGTGCTGTCTGCTCCATACTGTTAGTGAAGGGAAATTCCAGCTTTCAGCTGTCGTGGTATTTTGGAATTCACTCTCTTCCCCTCCCCTCTGCTGTATCCCTTCCCACACAATCACTGCTCTCATTCCTCTTCCCACTGAGGCCAAGCTACACTGCAGCACGTTTTTGTTTTGTGTGTGTGTGTGTGTGTGTATGTGTGTGATCTTCTCTGCCTGTCAGTGTGGGTTATTGTTTATGTCTGAGGACCCCACCCCAATGGAGGAAATTCCACATCCTGCTATTCTGCTGAGAATTATTTTTGCACCGTAATAAACAAATCGTTCGTTTTTTTTGTACGGCTTGCTCCAGTGCTAGTGATCGCAAAAATGATAATAATAATAATAATAATAACCTTGCATTTGATATGGCGCCTTATCGCGTCTTTGAGACGTCTCAGAGCGCTTCACATAATATACTGTAAGGTGAATCGATTGTATATTTTGTGGGCGAAATGAAAACAAGAGAGAGGGAGAAAGCAGAGAGAGAGAGTGAGAACGAGTGATTGAGAGTGTGATGAGATAAACTTATTGTGTACAATGGTATTTTAGGATGTTTGGCACTCAGAGCAGCGAATGGGTATTTGTGACATTGTGAAATGTGGAATTTAGCACATTCTGTACTACACGTCTGTTTGGATGTAAAATATTGTCTCAGCCTGTGAGTTGCTTTCTGTGGGTACTTTCTTTTGTCATTGGGGTGTGGAGATATTTCTGTGGTGACTATACATCATGAGTATTTTGTAGTGCTCTCCCATAGAGGGCTCTTATCATTCTGCCAGAGGGAACTTGCTGCAAAGTTCAAGAAAAGTTTTTTTTTGAAAGAGAATGAAATTAGTTTGTTTGGGATCGATCCTCTTTTGGATCCTGTTCTGTTGAAAGGTCCTGCCCGAGACATTAATTTTAATTTCTTTTTTAGATTCTTATTGACTTGAGTCATTTGAGTGTTTTTTTATTCTTTTTAAATGTACAGCTTTTGTTTCTACAATTTGAGTATGCCACTTATTCAATGCAATCCATACCCCACCCTCCTCATTTCTAGATGCACCCCAAGTAGATGTTCTGCATTGATAGTCGGCCAATTAAGTATTTTCAGTTAAGAAACATTTTTATTTGGAAATATTTGCATTTTCTTCTGTGAAAATGGCTTCATTGTAAAACAATGAATGATATAGGGTTAGGTTCAGGCTGAGATACTCCACAGGATACAAAGTATCCTAGATGTGGCTTCTGGAGGAAGGTGAAGGCTTTTTAGGGTTTAGGCAGTCTTCATATGGAGCTTTTCCCCTATAAAGTGTGTGGGATGAAGTCCTGCATTTTATATACTATGGGTGGAGTGGATTTGATAGAGAGCCACACCTTTTTATATTCTGGATTTTTTTAGGTATTGGTGAGTTATAGTTTTCACGAGCAACTTATTTAAATTGCTTTGGACTCTTTGTCTTCAGTATTTTAGATGTGATCAAATATATCACAGGAGTGCAATAGGAATTCCAAACTTCCAAAACTTGACTGGAACAACATGTCCCTTTTCCTTACTACTCCTATAAAGGTGCTGCACTAACGTGCTCTGAAAGTAAACTGGACCTTTTATTTCTGCCCATATGACACTTACTATGTTTTTCTTCTCCTTGGCTAAATCCCACTTCTATTTGCAGATAATGGACAATGGTGTCCAGAAAGAGAGGGCGAGTGCATTTTATATGATTATATTGAAACACTTTATGTAAAAAAACAATGTTAAGAGCAGAATTAAATGTTTATTTCTCTTGCCCATAAATTTTCTCACTAGTGGAATTAATTGTGTATTGCTGTAGTACATTATTACAAATTTATTAAAAATCGCATTCATATTTTTATGAATCTGCTCTCATTTGCAGAAATTAAGAGAAGTGTTATTTCACAGTAATCCCAGTTCCTGCATGTTTTCACAATAAGTGATTCATTATTATTGTAATCCAATTTCGCAGTGATTTTTTGTTACATTTTGAGAAAACAAATTAATGGTCTCATGACCATTAGATTGTTTTCTCAAAATGTAACAAACACTGAGATTGGATTGGAGATGAGGTAGTAGAGAAAACTAGAAGGAATATTGGGAATATTGACTAGTTATTTTTTATGGGTTTTCAAGACTACTATAGCTTGTTCTCTGATGATTCAATAGTAAATATATGTGCTATAGTAATAATAACATTAATAATAATAATTGCATTTGGTATAGTACCTTATCACATTGTTGAGACATCTCAAATTGTTTCTCAGAATATACTGTAAAGTGAATTGTCTGTATATTTTGTGGGCAAAATGAGGCAGCCAAATGCAAACAGCAGTGTCCCATAAACAGTCGTGGTTTGAGTGATCACATTTTTATAAAAAATTGCTTCATTGTAATGCAGTATTGTCCTATGTAGAGGTCGATGCTGGGCTAAATCTCTGTTCTGCAATGAGTGAGCTGAGCTGTGGTAAGGTAGTGATGGGTGCTTACTTTTCTCCTGAACTAGAGAGGATGTAAGCAGACAGATTTTCTATTTGTGCTGCATGTCGAGTGCTGCAGTGCTGCCTCAACCCCTTTTGTCTATCAGTCTGTCCATTACTGTTTCTTTAATGCCTTCATTCCATCTTTTGTCTGTTAGAGTTCGCATTTTTTTTGTACGTCCTCTGGGGGGATAGTGCCCATTCCATTCTGGATATGGACATTTTCCATATGTAGTTGGCTTGCATGAAACTCTGTTTGGATATTCGTAAGCACAGTGATGGGTTTCTTCTGTATATGCCTGACACCTAGCTGACCAAAAAATATTTTTATGAAGAGAAGGTTACCAAAAAGAAGTCTAGTATAAGTTCTGCTTCTGTGAATACAGCTCGTGCCGATTTAGCAGAATGGATGGAATCACTTAACGGAAGGTTCCCTCTTTCTTTGTCTCCTCTCCTTTACTGTTTCTTTGAAAAAGTCTTTTGGAAAAGTAAAACTAATCCAAGTCTATTCTATGTATGCGTTGTATTCAAAATTTGTATTGTCAGCTTACTCGCTGCTGAAGAGCAAATGAAGATAATAATAATCCTTACATTTGATATAGCACCTGATTACGACTTTGAGACATTTCAAAGCGCTTTGAAAGAAGTGGAAACAAGTAACCTTGTAGATCCCTTGATGCCCTCTGTACAAACTAAATGGAATATCTGGCAAGCTGAATGCTCCATAGAATTACTGTCTGATGCTGTGAACTGTACAACGCTGAAGGGGGAAGGAAATATTGTAACCAGTGTCGTCTGTGGGTCTGTGAATGCAATAATAATTCGAGCAGCCTTTGTCAGATTTCAATCACATTCGGAACATGGCTTCAAGGAGTCAATACTTCAGATAAGCTTGTTATTGGGTCACATCCAGGAATTGCATTGCAAGATATTGTGACTTTTATTTTGTTATCTTACAAGGATTATTATTTCTGACATGAATAAAACTTGACTCATTTCCTTGCTACGGAATGTCACTTGGCTAGTGTTCTGAGCTCCGGCCCTCCTTTTCCACTCCCAGTTTTATTCAGTTA